AAGAGAGAAGGGGGAAAAAGAGAGAAGGGGGAAAAAGAGAGAAGGGGAGGAAGGTTTTGCTGTGCAGAGGAAAGAGTCCAGCTTCTACAGCTCCACTGCTCAGGAAATACCCTCTGAGAGGCAAGTAGATTTGACACCTCTCCTGACCACTTCAGACACCTTGGATCAGCTACCAAAACCACCTCTCCTGATTTCTTACCACTTTTAATTTGCACACTGATAGTTTCAAGATTCTTGAAGGCCACTACTACTAGAGGAAAAAAAAAAAAAAAAAAAAAAGGAGGTTGGAGATGGGCTTGTGGGAATAGGAGGATTTCTGTGAAGGGAAAAAGAAAAAGCTGCTGTCTTAGAAGTTCATCCCAATGCATGGAACTAACATGATATCTCTACCTCCCAGTTAGCTCCATTCAAGGTTTATTTTTAGATGCTCAGCCAGACTCTGCACAGGGGTGGTCCTTAGTAATATGGCTCAGTCCTAACCTCCAGTCTTCCAGGAAAAAGCCAGGATTAGGGCAGAGAAGGCTAACACTTTGTATCACCACCAAGACCGAGTTCAGCGCTAACTTCTGCGATCTGTGAAGTAAGACTCCCTGTCAGCTAAAGCTTGACTTCAGTTCAACCAGGCCAAGGAAACAAGCCAGTAATTGGCAATCACCATCAACCCTTCACCTGGCACAGGGAAGCAGGAGTGCTGACCGAGTTAAGACACGGCACACCAGGGGAAGCACAGGCTGGCAGAAGCAGAAGTGTCACCTTGTACTGCAGGTGCCCAGGCAGCAACCTCGAAACGATCACTGACTCCTCCATCCTCTGCACCTTCCCTCTGTTCATCTGGCTGTGGCCCAGAGCTCTAACCCCGGGGACAAGGTCCGAGCAGACGAGGATAAGACACTCTAAAGCGGCAGGCTGCCGAAACCAACCTTGTTTGTCCGCGGGTTTAGCATCAGTGGCTTCCCCTTCTCCTTCATGTGGATGCCGCGGCGCGCCATCGCGCACGGGGCGGCGGCTGCTCTCAGTCGGGAGAACATCTCCTGCTCCTGTGCTGCACCTGGGGGGGGGAGAAGGGAAACAGAAACACTCAGAAGTCACACACAGGCAGCGGAACCGAGCGCCCCATCTGTCGCGAAAGGCACGTGCTCAATGAGACCCTTCGAGGACAATGCGGAAATAACGACCCCGCGGGGAGAAAGGAGGGAGGTTTTGGAAGGGGGAGGGCACAGGAGAGAGGGGAGAGAACACGCAGGGATACTAATGGGAGCCAGCACGATGTTGTGGGCAGCAGTCAGCCACTCAGCCCTCCCTGGGTATTGCCTTACACCATAAACCCGGGGGCAAATATTAACCGTCCGTGGTGACCCATGGGACTGGCGCCGCTGCAAATGCCAGGGAGGACACAACGACTCGGGCGAGGGCAGCCTGAAAACTCAGGCTGAGAGGTTCCCTGACAGCCTCCTAAGGACGAAATGTCACGGCCTGGGCAACAGGAAGGAAAGAAACCATGTCTGTCAGCGTATTAAGGCTGGGTTAGAACAAAACGCAGAACTAAAACGGCCAAAGGAACACCACTGAACTCTGGATTCCAGGGTTAGGCTTTTACAGTCCCAAATGTGAGGGAAAAAAAAAAAAAAAAAAGAAAGGTTATTTTCAGGGAGAATATATCCCTTTCAATAAAGGGAATGTCTCCCTAACAAAATAAAAAAAAAATCTTTAGAACCACTCAAAAGCTTGGTTCTAGTCTTGCCAAGGTTACAGCAACTCCTGAACCCACTTTATTCACCCACTGACTGCAAACTCTTTGGAGCAGAAATTATCACTTATTGCATGCTTTTATAACTCACTGCCACTAGGTAATGTGAACTGGACTCATCTCTCAGAGATTATTTCACCAAGACAACCACAGGACCACGGTCTGCACGGAGACACATTAAGAGCCCAGAAAGGACAGCAAAGAACCAGGATCAGGGAACCTCTCCACGGCAGCTGGTGCCCCCTCCAAGACTCAGGCAAAGGACAGTAAAGCAGGTTATGAGACATTTTTAAGGAATGAAATGATGCATGGTTTGGATTTTTAATTTCTTCCAGATGGGAGACAAAATTGGATTAAGGAACAAAACTTCATTATCTTAAATACAGCCTGAATACTTTAGAAGACCTTTCTATAATCAAATTTACACATAATCAGCTTTTAAGAGGGCAGACTGGTCTTACAAGTCACAGTCTGAGGGTTTTCTTAGAAATCTTTCCAAGCATTACAAAAATATGCAAACATTTAATACTTTTCACCATCGGTTATGCCCGAGTTTCTCTTCCACCCATCACAGAGAAGCAGCTCTGACCTTCAGAAGCAACCCTCTCTCTCTCATCCTGTGCTTGCTTTGCTTAGGCTGCGCTCAAAACCCGTGTGTTCAGCTGTCTTGTGGCAAAGGCCATAAATTGCCAGCACTACAAACAACTGCTGCCTTTCATGTGGTCCTTCCTCCCCAAACACAGCAAGCAGCGGACCAAGCGCAGCTGGTCCTGCCAGCAGCACTCAGGGCAGCTGAAAATCAGGATCAGATAAGGGAAATTAATTCCGTGCTGCAGAACAACCGGCCTTCAGGAACAACAAGTTCGGCTTTAGCCGGTTTTAGTCCCGGTTGCACGTTTGCCATCGTTACACAGCTGTGGGCCCACCTCCTCCTGCGTGTGGTCTGTGATTCCAGAGTCACAGCAAAGCCCCACCCCACAGTCCCATCAGCCTGGTGCCAGGGTGGCTTCAGCCAATGAGCAAATACCTCAAACAAGGAATTAAAAAGCAGGACAAACACCACACCTTATCTTACTCCAGTTAAATCTAAATTACCTCGTTGCAATTAACGAGCATTTAAGAACCAAACAAGACTGTGGCCCAGATTTCTCCTACCTTGACCAATTAACTCTCCAATCAACGAGACAGAGAGGAAAAGACTTCGGGGCTGTGACACAAATCTTACTTTCTTCTCTGCTGTCTGAGAGAGGAGACTTGACCCCTCCTGAGGTGTCACATCACCTAAAATGATTCTCTTGGTGGAGGTATCTCAGATGCAGAGAAGCAAGTGGGAGAATCAAGTTTCATTTTCCACTCAGCCCCTCCGTTTAGATCCAAGAGATATGATCTCAGTTGATTCATATCCAGCGTTAAACCTGACTGGTTATTCTCCTTCCCTGGCTCTTCTAATCATTCCGTATTTCTGTTTCATCTCCCACCTTGCACATCTCCTCCAGCTCATTTTGTCAAAGACTTTTAAGACTGTTTTTGCAAGAACCTGCCTCCAAAACTCACCCTAACATGACCTACCCTGAAACCAGAAGCAGGCAATCCTTCCCCATCCTCTGTCCACGCTCCCGTGTAGGAGTGCCAGGAGCTTTTCATGCATGACCATGACCCTCCTTGACACTTCCAGGGATCCAGGGGCAGCCACAGCTTCTCTGGGAAACCTGTGCCAGGGCCTCCCCACACTCACAGCCAAAGATTCCTTCCCAATATCCCATCTAACCCTGCCCTCTGCCAAGGGGAAGCCATTCCCTGTGTCCTGACCCTCCATCCCTTGTCCCCAGTCCCTCTCCAGCTCTCCTGGAGCCCCTTTAGGCCCTGGAAGGGGCTCTCAGGTCTCCCTGGAGCCTTCTCTTCTCCAGGTGAACACCCCCAGCTCTCCCAGCCTGGCTCCAGAGCAGAGGGGCTCCAGCCCTTGGAGCATCTCCCTGGGGGGAAGGACGTCAGCTGAGGGAAACAGGGGGGTTGGAACGATGTGAAAATGCAGACAGAGGAATGAGGTTGTGCAATGTCCTGTGAGGAGGAATTAGGAAGAAGGCAGCGGAACTGAAAGGGGAATGAAATTCCTCCACAAAGATGTGTCAGCACAACCAGAACAAGGGCATCTCTCCTCCCTTCAGCACTTGGCAAGGATGAGGACTAAACAAGACTGTGGTGCACCTCTACACTGAATCCACCACAACTGGTTATTTCTGACTTACTACTAAGTACAAGCCATGCCACAATTTAAGGGAAATAAATCCCTCAGCATATCAGATCACAGCTCTCTGCTGTGACTTATCAGGAGGCATCTGCCCCAGGTCAAACTAATTACCAATATGCACAAGTGCCCTTATCTGGGAGCCAATGTTTCTCTGGTGCAATTATAGATTCGTTAAATTGCAAAAGCTACTTTTAAGGGTAAGGTTCGTGGTGTTCTTCAGAGGTCCAAATACTTTGCTCCGAGAGTCAGGAAGCCCAGTGTCAATTAGAGCAAGGTCTGCTTCAATTACTGCACGGGCTGCCTGACCTGTGGATCCTACCTGACTGCTCAGGGTGTCTCCCAGTGGACAGCAACCTGTGCTGGATGACTGTGCAGCCTTCCTTCAAGTTTGAAGGGCGGGCAAAGCACAAATGCAGTTCAAGCACTCCTGAAATCCCCTGTCAATAAAGAGTTCCAGTCCTCCTTTCATGTGCAGAAATTAACAAGGCCTGTGTGCCACCAGGAGCTTTTTTTTTTTTTTGGTAACACAGGCTGAAATTACCAACTCAAGGCCTTCAGGCCTCCATTGGTGTAGGTTTTTTGATACAGACATTTTCTCTTAGGTACCCACAGCAGCCCACCCAGTGAGTCTGCAGGTCTGGTGTGGATGCACCACTGCACTCTATTCTCTTTTTTTTTTTCCCCCCCCCAGTAATAAACAGACAAGCCTTGCCTACCCAAGCATGACACAAACCAGGCACACATTAGCTGGCTTCATCACCTCAGCAATGATAAGGCAGTCTAAAATTATTACATTAGGCAAGCACCGGCTACAAACGTGTCTCCCCACGGGATTTTTACTCTGAGCAGCTTTTCCTGCACCCACCACCCCAGCAGCAGGTCAAGGGGACGCTTCTGTTTCGCAACAGGAGCATCCCAGGAGGAAGGAGCAGGGGGACAAGGATGGGGACGTGGTTCTGTGCAGCAACTCAGCACCTCTGGCTCCCTGAGCTGACCAGATGCTGCTGCTGAGGGAAGTTTTCAGGTTCTCTTCAGCCAAGCCCTGAGCAACCACCTTAAAGGACGTTCCTAAGGCACCTTGAGATCTGCAGATTAAAAGGAACAGTCATATGGGGAGGAGATACCAATAAACTGTTCAGCAGCAGCAAGTGGGTTATTTTGGAAGCAGATCTTTAACAAACTCAAATTACTTTTCTTCCCTTTTGTCCTGAAGGCAACCAGTTCAACTAGGAGAAAAGAGTTAGATGCAGAGCACTTAAGTAGAATAACCCAGTTCACAACCTGAGGCTTGAAACAATTCAGCAAATAAAGCACACTTAGGTGAACTCAAATGAAAATAAGTTCAGAACACCTTTCTAAAAAGAGTATATCTGAATTACTTTAACTCACAGTGTCAGAAAACCTCTTAACACAAACAGAAGGTAGGGCTGAATTATTTATTACTGAAGCCTTGGTTCATAACAGAACCAAACCACATCAAAGAGCTGTATTTTTGCACATTAATGGACCTGACCTAAATATTCTGATCCTTAAGAATCATGAAGTCCATTGTCTTTCACTGTGGGAACTGCAGCAGCAGTGGTTTTGGGCCAGTCTGACAAGAAGATGCATTCTTGACTTGTATTCCACTTGTGTAACTGGGAGGGCTACTGGTAGTAAAGGTAAGGACATCAACATATGCAGGACAAAGGCCTTGTCCCGGAAAACCCTCAAAAATACTGCAGGAATAAACAGGAGGCTACTGAT